TCATCCTTGCCCAGGAGGCTTAACAACTTAACCTCTAAAAACAATAGCCGTTCACAAATGGCCTCATGTGACTCTAATGACTCCAACGACCACCGTTGCAGCAGGAGTTTCAACGACCATCGCTGACACACCATTGGAGCACTAACGCACCAATGACATCATTGGCCTTGTGAAGACCTCCCCAGAGGTTAAATACCTGGGTGCTTCCACACCAGTTTGTCAGACTAGTTCCAGCCTAGTCAGACAAACATGAACTGATGAAGCCTCTTGGATAAGAGGTGAAACGTCTTCTAAGACAAAACCAAGTCCAGTTGCGTTCGATTCAATTGCCTTGAGACAGAGATTGAACATGTTTCAGCTGAGCTCAGTGACAAAAAGTGTTTCTAACAGACATAAGTAAATTTCTTTGTCAGACTTGTTTTTCCGATTACTGAGCTGTCTATGGAAGCCCCTGAATCCAATCATATATAATCTTAATAACTGTCATGTTGCCTAAAACACAGCACCATTTTGAGCTATATGACCAATTCCCGGCAAGTGTTAGCAAAGCTAGATAAAACTTCCACCAAGCGGGGTTAGTTGTTACACGGTGTGACAAGGCCTACAGCGCATTTTCTCTATTTTTGCACTTGAAACTCATGTTCAGTTTGAACTAATGACCTTAATTACATGAGATATACCTTGTATTTTGAATTTGTAAAAACTCAGGTATCTGAGGATTACCTCACGGGCCGGCCGCAGTACATCAGGGTGGATGGCTGCTTATCTGAGGTAGTGTCAAGTAACACCGGGGTGCCCCAGGGAACTGTTCTGGCACCATTCTTCTTCACCCTCTACACCTCTGACTTCCGCTTCAATTCTGGTTCCTGGTTCCACCTCCAAAAGTTTTCCGACGACTCCTTGTTCGATTCAATTGCCTTGAGATCTCAAGAGAGGTCAGTGAATGAGACCCTAATACCACTGTCCGCTTTTGCAATTTCAGTAGCCAAGTATAAATTTTATCCAAACCTTCCTTATCCTTTGTGAAAACAACATGCTGGATGAAGTCTCGTGAAATGATCTCTGCTCACTACTATAGTATTTTTCCATGAAATGGAGCCAAATATTTTCATGTTTGCTTAACTAATGGATAACTTAATGCAGCTGTGCGCTCATAAAACTAGGTAAAGATGATGTACCTCACCAAGACTAATTAATCCAGCTCTTGTTTTTTAGTAAAGTAGTGTTAGGCAGGCTTGGTAGACTATCTGTGGAGGAGGTTAGGAGTTTAAAAAAGCCTGAAAATGCATCATCAGATGTTTTCCTGCACTTCTCTAGACCTTTACTTACAACAATATAGCAATGACTGACTTTCAATCCACTTCTACTTCGCACATTACGCTCTTTTCACAACTTTTCAACGTCAGTTATTTGATCTTTCTCTTTATTTCCTCCTGTCATGAACACACACAAACACACCACATGCTCACATAGTGTAAACAGTCCAATCTACAGTGTATCAGAGCAGTTATCTCACTGTTGTACGGCGCAATGTTTACACTCAATTAAAAGCTTAATCAATTGAAAAGCAGCCAAATATACAGCAGCAGCTGCCCATCCCCGCTAAAGTGCATTAACATCAATAGGCGGTGTGTGTATATGTATGTGCATGAGCATCTGTGTGGATACATTTATAAGTGTGTGTGTGTGTGTGTGTGTGAGGTTCATGCCCCCAATAGACAGACGATACTGTAATAAAGTAACAAGGACGAAAGTATTGCAGTACGTCAGCACTGAAATGTCAGCAATCACTTCACTGTGTTCGGGATAATTGAACAACAGCAGACCTTTTCAAGTGTCCGACGGCCAGCAAATATTTTTTGAGACGTTGACGTAAAGCAAACTTGCTAATCTCGCCGTGGAAGTCTCAGCAGGTCAACAGACCCGGCTGATGCCTCTGGTCCTTTTTATCAATGGCTGATGTGGAGACACCTATTCACACATTTGTACAGTCCAGACTCGACTATTCACGTGCTGGGACTCCCTAAAACTTGGAATTCCTCCCAGGGGTCAAACATCCTGCATCACAGAGTGTTGTGTGCTTGGCAATTTCTTGTCAATTCACATTGGTTTGTCTCATAACCTTTTGGATAAGCTTGCAAAACTGTGACCAGGAAAGTTGTTGTCTTCAAGAGACCTCATGCCTAAATATAACTTCAAACAGAGATTACTTTTCATTTTTTGTTATCATAGATTCACAAATATCCACTTTTTTTTTGCTCCTTGTACTGCTAGCACGACTGCAACCATGACTAGACTTCTCTGGAGACTTTCAACGGACCATCATGAAGTTATACTGGAAAATATGTACAGATAAATAGTGCTAAAACATATACTGACATTCAGATGTACTAAATCCTGCTATCAGTGTAGCACCTTCCATAAATAGATACCAGCCCAAACAGGCTTACGAGGCTGAAAGTCAATTTCCATATACACAAACACCAAACAAATTAGGAAAACATGGACAGTATGTTCTGTATACATGTTCATACTTGACATTGGATCAAATTGACTGATCTCATATTGTATGCGTCTATTATTCAGTCTAGTTCCCTTAATTTTCTAAGCTTCAGAACTTCTCCTTTTTATCAAACCAAAGGAATTTAGTTTTTTTTTGTCCTGCATTCTTACAAAGGTGCATGTAGGTTGTCATATAAGCTTTCAAAGCACGAGCTGAGATGGTCACAGAGCTCACTGAAGCACACCCTGCTGTGTCCTGCAACACCATGCCCATACAGGTGACAAAACAAGTTCTTGGGAGTCCTGACGTGTGCTAGTAAACATCCTCACATGGTTCAGAAAACTAGAATACTTGACATCTTTACATCACTTTTATCTTCTCTTTATTGGCTCCCGAGCTTTGTTAGATCAGACTTTAAGGTGCTTTCAATGACCTACAAAATTGTCAGTGAGCATGCCCCTTCCTACCTGTCTGATCTCCTTAAAACGTATACTCCAATCAGGACTCTCTGCTCTCAGAGTAGAGGGCTCCTGACTGTCCTCAGAGTTCCAAAGAAGTCACCAGGTCCCAATCCTGTTGTGCCCCCTTCCTCTGGACTAAGCTCGCTATTAACTTTCAAGCCTCAATGAATATTATAATATAGTTTGTCCTGCCAATGACAATAATATAAATGTCTGAAAGCCACTGCATCTAACTCTGTGCTGTCCGTGTGCCTTTCTCTGAACCATCAGCCGTCCTAGGACATTGGCTCTATCGCCTGTTTGGTTCCTCATTCCACATTTTGGATCTGGAGGAGATTCAGCCTCTCCTCTATTCTCTCTTTCTCTCCCTCTGTATGTGTTTGACTCTTCTATCTGATGTGAATGAAGTGCTTCACATTTCCTTCTCATGTGTTAGTGTGGCTCTACAGCGGTGAGCATGTGGTGCGGCTCAGGTTCTATCTGTTGAAAGCTGTTAGACATCCTCCCGGATACATTTACTTAATATATGTTTACATTCTATGTATAATTAGGCATGTGGGTTGTCCATATTGTCATTTTATCACTGTGATTTTTTTTTCTCACGGGTTACATCACATCTCCTGTATGTTTACCCATCTATACTCTCAGATGGACACACCTGTCATAAACCAGGCGATAAGACCTCCAGTTCAACTTAAGTTTAAGCACTTTTTCAGGGGCCGAGTTTTGTTAACTGAGTAGTTAAAATGAAACAAGAACACAATCTGTCTTCATTCAAAGTTCTCAACCTGAATCCAGTGCACACTTTTAACATCTTCATCATAAAAACTCTCCAACACTCTATACTTCTGTCTGAAGAAAAAAAGTCTCATATACAGCACATATACATTTAGTTTTCTATGGTTTAAAGAAAATAACAAATAGTAGCACTAGAAGTGGTCAAATCAGGGACATCAGCTCATTTTGAAAGGTAAATACAGTTTACAGACTAATAGTACACTCTACAAAATAACCCACTAATTCAACTTTTAAAAATTAAGGTAACAATTTGGATACGTCTTTTTAAGCAGTTCCAACTCTGACCTTACTGAGTCAATCCAATGAGTCTTTAATAATACAACAAACTCAAATATATTAGTTCAACCTACAGGATTTGCTTTGACCTCGAAAAACATAATTAAGTTGAACCAACTTAAACATTGTGGTGATAGTTATGGGCCAAATTATTTTATTTAAGATATTCTAACTTATTCATTTTAATTCTATCCTACTCATAAATGTCAAAAATATCTAAAAATAAGTTGTCAACTGACCAAAACACATAAATAAACAAGCGTAAATTCTTAATATTGAAAAACTTCTATATTTCAAGCGCTATCCACTGACCCCATGAATAATTTTATAGAGTGTAGCACTACAAGTGATGAAATCAGGGAAAGTTTGAAAGGTAAATACACAGTTTACAGACTCATAGTATAAAGGTGATTTACAGTAAATGTCCTCTTAGAAGACTTAGTATGTCTAATGAACATCAAATGTAGCTCAAAGGTCATCTTTTTTTGTTTACAAATGGGCTGATATATACTATACTATACTATACTATAATACAACTAGTAGTAATTGAGTTTATGGATGAGTCAAATGGTAAATAATTATTACAAAATTAGAAATAGCCAATATTTAGCGTCTTGCATTGTTAGACTTTAAATAAAGCCAGGAGGAGAATGAATAGAAAAATGGATTCACCACTTGAATAACCTGCTTCCATATCAATGTCATTAAATAAATGTGACAGTGACCATTAGAAAATGTGTAACTCTTTATTGGTGACAATACAAAGTGAAGTAATCATTTTCAGATCTTTAAATTGTACTTAATTAAACTGTCATTATCAGAACAGTATCACGTTTTTTCATATTGAACTCGACACAATAAAACATGATTGTTACATTTTACAAATTCCTCTTCTAAACACAGCTTCTGTTCCTTCTGTCTGTCAGAAACTTTTGCAGAAACACTCCATATCAGCTGCTCACCTGTGCCGGGCTCCTCGCCTCCGCTCCTCCGCTGCAGGCGCCCCAGTGCGCGCTGCTGTCTCTCATAATCCGGCTCCACACAAGAAAAGGAAAAACAAACGTACCCAGAGAGTCCGATCTGCACGAGCTGCAGATGAGTGACACGGAGCGACAGTCTGCCTCGTGCCATTTAGACGGAGGGAGAGAGGCAGAGAGAGGGAGAGACACATGGAGGGAGGTGATCGAGGCTGCCATCGTGTGGCCTTATGATGCAACACAGCCTGAGACACGACCTGATATACAGACCAGGGGCCCAGAGAGAATGAACTATGGTGAAAACTCTCACTTGCAGCATCTGTGTGATTTACGGTGTATTTTAATATATATATTTATGATGCTATAGTTGCATAAAAGCCACTACTATGGACCCTAATGCATCTTGCCATACACTGCCACCCACTGGCCAGGTGTTGTAAGTGCAACACAAATCTCTGAAACCCAAGATGGATAGAACACAAAACATGTTGTGCAGCTCAGGAATTTATCACCAATCCTACCATAACAGGAGACCCTTGCAGGTAAATAAAATGTGTTAACATCAAGTAATGTCTAAGAAGTCATACAGAGTAGGCCTACAACCTCCTGTGACGTTATAGAAATAGTTCTAGGTTACATTTTCGCAACTAGCTACTCTTATTTAAATAAACAAAGATAATACAAATAAAAACCTACCCTTATTCACTTATATGAGAAGATTAGCACCAAAGTCTAGACACTCAGTCAGACAAATCTGACTGTACAATATGATAAAGTCCACTTACAGCACCGCAAAAGCCCCTCTGGGGCTCAGTCCATAGGGACTTAGGTTGGGAACCGGAGGGTCGCCTGTTCAGGTCCCTGTCCGGACCAAAAAATATGGAGTGTGGACTGGTGGCTGGAGAGGGGCCAGTTCACCTCCTGGGCACTGCCGCATTGCCCTTGAGCAAGGCACCGAACCCCCAACCGCTCAGGGTGCTTCACCAAGGGCAGCCCCCTCACTCTGACATCTCTCCACTTTGTGCATGTATAGGTCCTGTTTGTGCATGTGTGTGTCTTTCGGACCTGTGTGTAATTGACAAGCAAGAGTGAAAACATTGAATTTCTCCTCAGGGGGATTAATAAAGTAAATAAACTTAAACATAAACAACCTGGGGGTCCCAACCTCCACTAGGAGTCGCCAAAGCTTCAAGGCCCTCTTGATTTGAGGGGATATAAGAAAACTTTTAATTAGAAAGAAAACAGCCAGCCTGTGCCTCAGCATTGCATTCATTCATTTCTGTAAAGTGAACGGAATGAAACTGTTTTGGTTGCTAGGATACCATCTGTTTGACTTGCTGCCCTCTGGACAGAGCTACAGATCATTCAGGGCACACAGACTCAAACACAACTTTTTCCCCACAGCGATAAGGACATTGAACAAATTCAAATACACAGGATGAACCTGGTGTCATTACTACACTTTATGTGCAATATTTTCAATCAATACTACCCTGCATACTATACTGCAAAATTCACAGACATACTATGTGTAGTTTTTTTAACCTATTACAATTATTCATTTATTGTCTACTATCTGTTAATGTGAGGATTGGGTGGTTGAATGTATGGAGGATGTGGTTTGAGCTGTCAGTACATTACAGTAGTAGCACTCCTAATTTCATTGTTTGTTTGTTTTTCTTTCTTTTTTTAATGATACAGTGACAAAAAAGGCATTTTGATTCTTTTTTAATTTCGATTATTGCAAGATATGAACTTAAAAACAAGACCTGAACACAAGCTATATTCAGAGAGCCTTCACTCAAAACAGCCTTGCCCTGCATCAGAGACATAACCTGTTAAAACAACCAAGGAGCTGTTGGAAGAATGGCCAAACAGAATTTGTCAAATATAAATAAATAAATACATAAATAAATAAAAACAAGTGTGTAAGCCTATGTAGGCTATGTAGCTTAGGTTTGGGGTCAGTTTACTTAAAAGGGTATGTCACGCTTCCTTAGAATATGATATGACTGTCTTTCCTACTCAGATGTAAAGGTCTTCAGTATTACAGAATGCATCATTTGTTGGGCTATTTTTATAATTATTCATGACAGCTTGTAGAAGGAGGAAATTCAAAAACCGTCTCAATCACCCTTAATTCACCTTATGTCATCAGTCAGATGTTGTCACTTTACTCAATGATATAACAGTGACATTTGCATTTGTATAAAAAGCTTTGTGTAAAAACGAGACGTTGTGGTTTCATGGGGAATATGCTGAACTATTTCTTGTCTGGATACAGGAATTGTCAACCAGTGGACTAGAGGTGCTGGACGAATTTGAGCAGGGGAGCATGGGGCACAACGTAACACAGGGTCAATTGTAACATGGACTTTTTATGTGGTTACAGAATTCCACAGAGATTGAAGTGTCTGGGGTATCTGAAAAACTCAGGAGGATTTTCAGCAAACACTGCATCCCGGTGTATTTCAAACCCAGGAACACACTCAGACAAAGACTGGTACACCCAAAAGACCGTACACCACACACTCAGAAGAGCAACCTGGTGTACGCTGTCCAATGCAGTGAGGAATGCCCAGACTTGTACATTGGTGAAACAAAACAACCACTAAACAAACGCATGGCCCAACACAGGAGGGCTAACTTGTCAGGGCAAGACTCAGCTGTCTATCTACACCTCAAGGAGAAAGTACACTCCTTCGAAGACAGCAATGTGCACATTTTGGACAGGGAAGACAGATGGTTTGAAAGAGGTGTAAAAGAAGCCATCTATGTGAAATTGGAAAAGCCATCTCTCAATAGAGGAGGAGGTCTGCGACACCACCTGTCCCCCATCTATAATGCTGTCCTTTCATCCTTGCCCAGGAGGTTTAACAACTTAANATAAAAATTAGCGAGCAGCTAGTAGCAAGAGGGAAATGCAAACCTGACAGACACTGTAAAGATGAGCAACTGGGGAGACAAGGAATTGCACGCCCTCCTTGCACTCGCAAATGAAGAGGCCACTAACCGTCAGATGACTGGAACAGTGAAGAACGGGCCGACTTCCGAGAGAATCGCCGAAGGACTGACCAGCCGCGGCTTCCCTCCCACGTCACTGTTTACGTCATACGCTGAGCTACTTGTTTTGTTACTTGCTCACGCCCCCCATTGCCCCGAAAAAGGCACATTCTCTATAAACAAAAGTAGGTAGGTGGCATTTTGCCGCACTCCCCGATTTTGTTTTTATACTGCCAATGCTGAAAAAAGACTGATTGGGCTTTCCTGCAAATTTGCACAATTCCTGTTTAAAAAGGGCTTAAGTGTTTAATTGAGACAAAGCTTTTAATCGAAGTTTTAAGGTATTCGTTATTGGCAGAGTGTACATTGCCGACATTTTCTTCCGGCATCTGGCCTACTACTCACTTGTTGACAACACAAGTGCACAGTGTTTTTATCAGTACAGAGGGGAATCCCTGTTCACTAGGCTGGTACAAATCAATACTACTACAATACTAATACTGTCAGCACTACCTTCTGTTACTTTTTTAAGTATAAAAGAGATAACTGTCATGTGCCAGTAAAACAACAACAAAAAACAAACATTACACAACATTATGGCTTGCAAGAGTACTGCTGTAACAATCCAACATTCCTCCTCTACACCTAGCACGCTTGTTTCGTTTACTTAGGTGTTTGTTCAGGTGAAAGTGCAGTTGTGTGTATGTCAGTGGGCGGAGTTAGACTCAGTCAGCGGTTGTTTTTTCATATTGGACAAAAATAAACAGCTGCAAATGGTTTCCTAAATGAGCTCTGATATCTTCAGTGATGCTGACTGTGTACTGGCAAATCATGAAGAACAGAAAGCTGCAAAAAATATATGTATTTTAAGGAGAGTAAGACATATTTTAAAAACTTATAATGGTCACTAAGTCTAGCTGGAATGCTCATACTACCCCTTTATTTCAAACTCTGGAGTCAATAAACATATTTGGCATCAATAAAATTTGAAAAGACATTTTAGTATTTCAATTTTTTAACATTTCACACCCCATTTCCTTTCAGTTTCCTAGTAATTAGGTCTCAGATCCACTGTTATCACACCAGATCTGTTGTGCACAGAGGTCCAGTTATATGGAGCAGCTTTACAGTCACTCTTCTTCTTTTTTTTTACCTTAAACAACTTCTCTTGAAAGAGTACAGTACCCTACTGTGTAAATAAGTCATGATACATTGCATGTAAGCAGTGTTAATATATGTAAATATAATAGTTGTTTTTATTTCCTCCTTTCTTCTCTGGTATCTCTTATTTGGAAAACTGTGTTATTTTCCTGAATTCCTGTTTTCCTGTATTCTAAAAATATTAATGTCTGTTGGTAAAGTGGTAATCATAGACAGCTGCCTTTAATTTCAATGTTAGGTGTGTTCCTTTTACAATACCCCACCTATTCTACATATTTTCTGTTTTATTTCATTATATGCACAAATAAATAACTAAAGAAGAGAAAAGTCTGGATGCCGGCACGAACATGAAGAAAAGCTGCGTAATTATCCTTAAGAAAAAGTACTGTATCCGCAACAGGACCAAAACAAAGAGCTTATATCAGTGTTGATAGCACTATGTTGAATTTACTAATGCCCACACGATAGCTTATCTCTGCTGATAACCAAAAGGCAAAAAGTACATACGGATATGTGGCTTTGGCTGAGGTGACACTGATAATGAATAAGGCCCAGCTAGCCCTGGGAATCAGGCTAATGAGTTGGCGCCAGTACAGACGGCCTAAAATTAGCCTGTAGGCGGTGGCTCGCTCCTAAATGTCCACAGGGAGTGGTCTAATAAGGACAGGACAGTAGGTAATAGCGGGGACAAGAAGTTAACTATTTCTGGTTCATGGCTGATCCCCTTAAATCACTTTTTCTCTGACTATTACGCTGTTTTACCTTTGTTTGCCAGGGCGGGTTACTTGAGTACATTCACTCTCTCACAACTCCACTTTGTTTCACCTGCCTGATTCATTTACAGATGCTCATAAGGAAAGCGGCCAGAGCTGCGTATGGCTGCCAGCCACTGTTGGAATTGTCTCTTGCTTAGGCTTTCAATTTTTGGATGAGGCA